GCCGCCGCCGCCGCGGCCGAGGCTCCCGGCGCCGGCGCGGGCATGGAGCGCTCGCAGAGCCGTCTCAGCCTGTCCGCCTCCTTCGAGGCGCTCGCCATCTACTTCCCGTGCATGAACTCCTTCGACGACGAGGACGCGGGTAAGCGCGCGGCCTGCCCCCGACCTTGGGGGTCGTCCCGGGGTCCAGAGCCGGAGGCCCCTTCCCGAACGCTGCGCGTTCTTAAAGCGGACCAGCGCCTGTCCTCCACCCCTAATCCTGCCCTGGGAGGCGCCCCGGGGTCTCCTGCCCCTCCCAAGGGACCCTGGGGGCCCTAGGATGCGATCCCTTATCCTTACCCCCGGCGCCCCTAGATCGTCTGCATTTACCCTTTTCTCCCAGGTGGGCCCTTGGGTTGCCTGGACCCAACCGTCCTTACTCGCTTGCGCGGACTGGAGACCCCCCACCTCGTCTGGTTCCTGGCTCCTGCCTACCACTATCCATGAGTGTTCCATACAGTGCGTGCCTACTTTTCAAGCCCTGGGGCACTGGCCGCCTCACCCCTGGGGCTCTGACGCGCCCCCAGCCATTGGAGGTGTTGCACAGACCTTACCTCTCCATCTTTGTCTTGACTGCACCCAAAAGCTGCGCGCCCAAGAGCCCCGCCCGGCATCCAAGGCCTTGAGCGCCCTGGTTTGTATCTCTGAACCTTTCCCCGCAGGCTGGGGCTCCGGACCCCTGGTTCTTACTAGACTAGGACTGATCGCGGGGAACTGGGCAGGTTATGGCCTTTCCTCTTTTCACCGGCGCTTTCTGGAGGGAGGTGTAAGGCGGCGCCAACTCTGCACTTGTGCCCTGTGCCCCTGTCCCCAGGTGCTCCTGTCCCTGGAGTGGCCTGTGTGTGTGTGGGTGTAAAAGAGAGAGAGAGAGAGAGAGAGAGAGAGAGAGAGAGAAAGAGAAAGAGAGAGAGAGAGAAGAACCTGGCCTCCATCCTGCGTCTGAACCTCCTGCTCCCAGGTTTTTGCACTGCCTTAGTGAGAGGGGCAGGGAGGTGCAGGAAAACCTGCACTTTGAGGTCCCAGGCAGAGGAACCTTTAGAGCTCTGGATTTGGTGCTAGGGTGAAGGAGAGAATTCATCAACAGGTGGGGTAGGTGGAGGGCTTGGATGAGAGATCCCCAAACAGTGCAGACTGGGAGTCAGAACCAGACTCCAGTCTTCCTTCCTTATAAACTGCAACCTCGGGCAAGTTATGCCACCCCCTCAACCTCAGGTTCCCCATCTGTGAAATGGGGACGACAGTGCCTTACCTTAGGGATCTGTATGGCTTTTAGTGCAGGAAAAAGTGTTTTTGTGAGCTGAAAATCTTCCAGTATTTGTGTTCAGTGAGGGGACAGAAAGGAGATGAGTGTCTGGTGGGGAGGAACAAGATTTCATGGACACTTTGAAGACTCTGATGAAAATATGTACTTTCTCTCCAAAAAAAGCATATATGGACCATTCAGTAAATTTAGCCTACAGTTCCAGGGAGTTTATGGGTGGAGGTTTAGAGTCCCTGCCTGCTGGGACCTGCCTCTGGTCGACACTGCTGCCTTGGTTCTGTGGTGGGATTCGGTGGTGGGTGACAGGTGCTCACCTGCAGGAGAAAGGGCAGAAAAGTCTCCGAATCTGGGTAGTTGAATGAACGGGGGTAGGGCAGGCAGACCCCTGATAAACCAGCCTTGCTGTTGACCTGGAGGTGGGAGTGGGGATGAGGATGGTAACTGCAGAGCCATTTTATGAAATCACATTTTACAGAACAGATCACTGAGCCTCTGAGGCTTAACTTCCCCTGATGTAGCCTGGGGAGGTTGTGTTCTGGTAAGGGCAAGGTGAAGAGGAAATGCAGTGGCTCCCACGGAAGCAAAATTGAGATGAGGAAGTCAGGCTAGATCAGGGGTCTAGGGGAGGGGGAAGCTGCAGAAAGGGAGCCTGGCAGGAAGCCCTTGCAGCCCAGGTGAGCTGGCTGCCAGCCCTCCTGTCATGGCCGGGCACCCCCCTAAAGTTCAGCAGGCCGCTTGGGTTTCAGGAGCCGGGCTGAGCGGGAACGTGGATTTGCAGGAGCATGAGAGGCAGGTATGATTTTGGTTTTCTCCAAAGTCATGTTCCACGTCATGGGTCAAACACTTTGGTGGTTATTGCAGGCTGCAGGTAACTTGCTCCAGGATTCACTTAAGTCAACAGATAACTCCTGTAATATTAGTGATATTAAAGGTCTACCTGATGTCTTTTCCCCAGTGGGTTTCTTCATATTCTTAAGTGCTTCACTTGCAAGGGACCTAGAAATCATCTTTTAACCCCTTCCAGCCCCCACATGGACGGAGGTGTGCCTGTGTATTTGTGTATGTTGACTGTGTGGATGAGCAACAGAAGCCTTGGTGTGTGATGTGTGCATATGTGTGTCTGCATATAACCCAAGGTCATCCAGTATAACAGGCACAGAGCTGAGACTCAAATCTGGTTTCCGGTTCTTTTTCCAGAAAGCCGGTAGCCCTCTTTGTGAAAGAGGCTGTTGTAAAAAGCCAGATCTCACTATGCAGGAAATGTTTCCCAGGTAAGAAGGCCTAGAGAAGGGGCCGCCAAGCCCAGAGTTTGGTTTGGGCATCTTGAGCTCACTGTTTGTCTGTCTCAAGGGCTGCCTTGGGTTTGGGAGAGGGGAGAGAGAACGTGAACTTTCATTTCCGGAAGAATAATGAGTGTCTGGTGAAAGTCGGAAGTAGGGAACGTTATCTTGGTGCTTAATTTCTCTTTTCAAAGTCATTAATTTTCTCCTAAGAGCAGCCTTTTGGATTGACTCCTTTAGAACATCACCGAGCTGAACTAATTGCTGAAAGCAGTAGTCCCTGGGCTACTGGACAGAGACCGCTTCAGCAGGAGGCTGTCAGTGCAAAATTGGCTTCACCTGCTTCTCCCCGGCTCTGCTGGCACTCTTGCTGCCGATCTGTCCCTGATGGCTCTGACTCAGAAGTGTGTCTCTGACAGGCCTGGGGTTCATGGGAGAGCCTCCCCTTTGTTGCTGCTTCCAGCCCATGTCAAATGCATCTTTTCCATCCCCCAGCTTGATCCCGAGCATCTTTAGGGCTCACATGCCCTCCTTCAGCTTGAGAATTGGTCTGAGAAGGAGACTTCTTGTTTCCATTAGCCTTAAATAGGGCAGAATACATTCCTGCATTGGACTTAGGAGTTTTGGAGACCGGAGTGGGCAAAAGAAGCCGCCTGTTCTTTCTGCCTCTTTCTAAACACTCGTGGCCCAGGAGGTTACTCACTGCAGGTTCCTAGAATTCCTGTCAAAGGGAAGCTTCCCTTGTATGCTCTGAATGCATTTCTTTATGGTGCTGGTTTGCCCCTTTTCCCAAGGATACTGGCACTTTAGAGAGCCAGCCCCTTGGGGGGATTTTTGCTTGTATCTTTGTTGCTTAACCTTGTTGGCACCCGAATTTGTAACTGGGGAGGCTTAGAGGGAGGAGTAAGATTAGTGACCCCAGTTTTCTCATTTGGATGAAGAAAAATATAATAGCGTGGATCCCATACAGTCAGTATTATGTTGGGCTACCTGTCTTTCCAGGCACTTTGCATATATTGTCTTAATTCTTTCCTTATAACATCTCTATAAAAATTTTTTTTTGAGACAAGGTCTCACTGTATAGTTCAGGCTTGTCTTGAACTAACTATGTAGCCCAGGTGGCCTCAAACTCATGGTAATGTTCCTGCCTCAGCCTCCCAAGTGCTGGGATATAGGCTTGTGCTAGTATCCCTGGCAGACCTCTATAAAATTAATTTCCTGTTAACATCCCCCTTTCCAGATGAGAAAACCAAGGCACAGACATAGTACTTTGTTCAAGGTCACTCAGTTAGAAAGTGAGAGAGTTTGAATTTGAACTTAGATAATTTGACTCAAGCATCTGTGCTTTTAATTATGTTGCTTGCTGTGAGAAGGGCTTAGTACAGTACTGGTATGAGGTGGGTCTCAATACATGGTAGCTTTGATCTCTCTTATTACCAAGTGAGAGTTGTTTCTGAGCATGACTGTAAAGAGTCTGCGGCTTTCGACAGGGAAAAACCTGATTCTTAAAATGTTAGCTTTTGTAATTTTAACTAGGCTAATTTTATTCCATTGTTGTATTAAGGTAGAGTTGGATGCTCCTTCTTTGAACTTGTGTAAAGATGGGTGTTTTAATGCCAAGCAAGAGGGTGGAAAGCATTCTGGCTATCCATTTCCCTGCCCTTCCCAACCAGTTAGTTCATTTGTGCATCCACAGGTCTGCTCTGGCCCCTCTGCTTTGGGGTATAACTAGGGAGTGCACATGCATCCTTTTTCTACCACATGCCCAGGGGGGTTGTTACATCAGGGTGTGGAACTGAGGATGGTGTTCCTGAGCCTGCTCAAGTGGTTTCGGCATCCAAGTCTCCCCCGCCCATCCAGGAGAAGGGCGGAGAAGCTGGAACAGCCAGCTCTGATTTGCCCATAGGATGGATGCTTCCAGTACAGGGAGGAAGTTGCCATGGCAACACCAGCCGGCTACCGGTTCCTTTCCTAGCTGTTTGGGCCACATCTCTGGGCTGGAAAGCCCTTCACAGCACCACCCTCTTCCGCTCAGACCAAATCTGGTGTGTGTGTTTTGCGGGGGGCATGGTGGATGGGCCTCATAAAATAGTACCTCAGCCTCTTCCCTCTCATTTTTGGGCAGAGGGGAAATGGAGGTTGTCTGAGTTACTTCTGGCTTGTGAAGTGGAGATACTTGTCTCCTGCCAGATCCTGACCGTGGTGGTGGTGGTGGTGGCTGGGATGGGGTGGGGGACTCAGAGTTCTAATCCCTACCCTCATCCCCAGCCTCCTGCAATGACCGCAGCAGAATTCCCCCGCCTCCTTATTTATACTGTTTGGCAGAGTTTCCTTTCCTAGATTAAGTGCAAACTTTTGTCCTTGAAATTTGACCTGAGGTTTTTCTGGGAAACAAAATGTCCTGCTGCCCCTCCATTTCCTCCGGAGATGGTGGGAACTGGGGAGTCCTTCAGCAGGAGGGGGCTTGGCTGGGTGGATGGGGGACAGCTTAGCATATCTTTCAATCAGTGACACCTGAAGGCTTGGCAGGCCGCTTTCTTTCCCCCTTCTTCTCTCTCCCCT